TTTTTTTTTTTTTTGTTTCTTGTTTCTAATTTATCTGTTTGTTTTCTTTTTCTTTTTTTCTTCTTATGATATAAACTCAAGAAGAACGAAAGATAACTTTTAACACATCACTCTTTCTATATATATATATATAGGTTTATTTACTTACAGAAGGACACTACGGGGACACTACGGCAAGAGGACCCTGGGAAGAAGGAAAGAAAAGAAAGAGATCCCAAACCCCCCACCAGAAAGGAAAACAAACGTAAAGTATAATTATACAACCAGTCGATACGTGTTTCCTCCATATAAATATATATATAAATATATATATATATAAATTTTTTTGTTTTAATCTGAGATGGGTGTAGACTCACTTCCTTCATCTCCAAAGTTCCCATCCGCCGCCGCAGCGGCAGAAACAACAAGAGCAGCAGCTGTAGATACCACAGCAGAGCGTGAAGAAGCGATGTTGTCATTTCTCTCGCAAATGAGAGAACATCTACAGACTACTGCAAATCTTGATGAGTTTCGCAGTTGGGTGAATAAAAATATACCGGACATCGACCATAATCAACCACCCCCACCACCAGGACCACCCCCAGCCCTACACCCACTTGCAGATTCAGGATCATGGCATGAATTGAAGGAATCTAAACAAGGAAGAAGTAAACACCGTAATGTTCCTAAACCACACATGTCACTTGTATCTCTGGTAGAAGAACCTCTGGAGAATACTAATAATAAGGATGGAGATGGGACGAAGAATAAGAATGATAAAGGTAACAGCGGCAGCAGTTGTGGTGCTGGTGGGAATATTTTCTACGTACGTACACCAACAAAGACTTCTCAAGGAATAGATTCCATCCTTGTGAATGCACCGAACTCACAAAGAAAGAAACCAATGAATTCTGGTCCATTATTTGCAAAAACTACATTATCTCCTGTACTATATGAGAGAAGTGGAACACCAGAGTCTTGCCTCAGTGTGCGCAGTCCTGAAGAGGATAGAGCCGATCAGGAAGTCGCATCATTTCTTCATCTTTCCTTTTCATGGACTTCTAATATATTATTTCGTGGTGGACTTGAGACGTTTGGAACTAATAAAAAACGTTTTAGAGATGAATCAAATCCACTGGGGCATGGATGCAGCAACAGTAACGTCAATGTGGAGAACTCCAGTTCACTGTTAACAGAAAGTGACCGCGATTTACCTGGATTGAATACAAAAACCATGAAAGCCGTGGGACTCTCAAAGAAGAAGGCCATAAATGCCTCCGCTTCTTCCTTCTCTGCAGTTTACCGTCAGTCCGCCAACCCTCACACACCTGGTCGACGTGCATCTATTCTCGGTTCCTGCAGTAACAGCCACTTTGCAGAGGGCATGCCGGTCTTTTCACTGGAGGGACGATTGCCGGATCAGCGATTGATCTTCTCACGTAAATGTACACGACACTCCTCCGTGTTTCGCCCAATGGAAGAAGTACAGGAAGCCCTACGCTCTGTGGGAGTTCCCTTTATGCCGGATGTGGATTTACCAGATGTGGATATCGTTTACTACTGGAAAATGTATGGAAATAAGTGTTACGTGTATGTTTGTATGAATGTTCTATTGCGGTATAACTTTTCCACTCGATTTGGCTTTGATGTACAACGGATGTATCGCTATTACAGTACCGCCGTTACCTATATCCGCTCACGTAATCCATTTCACAATGCCTGTCAAGCCGCCGATGCGGTTTTCGCCATTCATCAATTTCTCTCACAGCCATATTTTGCAGAAAACTTCAGCGATGAGGAACTCTTTGGTATACTTTTTGCCACCACAGTGATGAGACTTGGACACGTTGGTGTGACGAATACCTTTCTGGTTACGGTGCGTCATCCGTATGCTTATGCCCATAATTATTACGCCCCACTGCAGAGTGTGAGTGTCTCACTTGCCTTTGCTATCCTTGATACCCCGGAGTGTTATTTCCCTACATTTGTCAACAGCCGTAGTGGCCCACCATCGGTGTGGACGCCGAAAAAGGAAACAGAACTACTGGAGCTTGTCTCTCAACTCGTTACTTGCGTAGATGAGAGAAATCATCAACATCTCATTACGGAATTGCAGACGGTATTACATGAAGGGGGTGGAAGTGTCGTGCGGGATCATCAGTTGATGACTATTTTACGTAATGTCATGCACGCTGTGGACTTTTGTTTCATATTCCGCCGATTATCTATTTACAAGTTTGCGGCTGTCTGCTCAGTGGCGGAGTTCTATCGTGAGAATCACGCCAGTCAGTTGTTAGAGGCCAAAAACTTATCACGATGGCCATCCCAAGAAGAACCTCCCACGTCTCTTCGGCATCTCACAGGCAGCGCCGCTTCCACTCATCTTGTGCAGGATAAAAATATCACCACTGTTCGCGTTATGCGAGAGGTAAAGAAACATCATAATGGGAATAAGAAGGTTCTAGAGAATAATAATAATAATAATAATAATAATAATAATAATAATAATAATAATAATAATAATAATAATAATAATAATAATAATAATAATAATAATAATAATAATAATAATACTAAGGATAAAGGAGTTGAAGACGATCATGATGGTGAAAAGGAACCAGAACCACTTTCACCGTTTGCATACAGAAGAATGGGTACTTCAGCCGTAGATTACACGGTGGATCATCCAGTGAAAGGCCTCCCTTTAGATTCTTGCACTTATATCACTGGCAATTCTGGGAAAAAGATACAATTGGCCTTATTGGAAGTGATATTCCTGCCTTTCATAAAGTCCATCTCCCCATTTGTGCCCACCTCTTGGTTAACAGCGGCAGAGAATAATATGGAGTGGCTTCGAGACTACGCCGATGAGGCCTTTGAAGAGGATGTCACGAATATGCTGAAGAACAGTAATATGTTTGATGCGGTGTTGCCTATTTATCGTGATTCCTTTGAGCGGCGGGTCCTCAAGCGTATTGTAAGTATGTTTGGGGAAGAGAAAATATATACAGAAGACCAACAGAAGGGGACGAGTCGTTGTAAAAGGCGTTCTTTGAGTATATGAGATATAAATGGAGTGGAAAGATAATACGAAAAATGAAAAGGAAATAAATAGAGAAAAAAAAGAAAAAAAAAACAAATAATATGTCTATATCTGTTTCTGTGTTTCTGTACATATACGATCATGCTTTTTATGAGAAATTATTATTATTATTATTATTATTATTATGATTATGATTAGTTGCAAGCTGGGGCAAGGACACAGGCTGTTATGCGCACTTAAATAGAATAATATAACCTTCTGCCACCCTTTTCCCCTCTTATTCATGTATACTTGTATACTTATATATAAGTATATAAGTATATATATATATATATATATATATCGGCACACGTTTATGCTTACATCACAATATCTGTATACCCTTTTGCGTATGCATGACTATTGGACTATCAATCTATGTATCTATATATTATTCTTGGCTTAAAGATTCTGGGCTATGGGAGAAGAAGTAAGGTACTCCTCAGAAGTAAGGAAGCGTAAAGAAGAAAAAAAAAATAGAGGAATTGAAAATGAAAGGTGCAAAAAAAAAAAAGAAAGAAAGAAAAAGATATGTGGATAAGACAACTCCGTAGACTAACAAAGAGTATATATATATATATATATATATAATAGAGAGAGAACATGTAGTGGTATCAATAATACATTTTATTTCTTTCCTTCGATGTTTGATATTTTTGAAAAAAAAAATTTTCATTGGCTTATTCACTCTATTATTATTATTATTATTATTATTTTCACCAAGAGATGTTTTTAATCCGTAAAGGAAATGAGCGAAAAGAAAATAATAAATAAATTGGAATTTTTCTTTCTTTCTGGATATGAATATGGAAATACATGTGATTTTATTAGCTTTTTTCACTCATTATATATATATATATATATATATTGTCAGCTTGTGAAAAGAATGATCGAGTCTTACTTTCTTTTTAGTTAACAAATCCTGTACTGGGGTTTTAATTTTTAGGAAAAATGAGTTTTCTTTCCAATCTTTCACAGTTTGTCAATCGTAAGTTTCTGAAAACCCCACCAACAACCCAACCCTTTCCGCCCCAAGCGGGAGGCGGGCTAAAAGTGTTTCTCAGCACTCTTCCATTTTCGTCAGTTCTTAGGATGCTTTTAATAAATTAACCCTCTTGGAAAGATACAATTTATTTTTTTATACACGATGGGGTTTCAAATTAGTGGAGGTTAAATACAGGATTTTTCTTTTTTCTTCTTCTGTTTTCTTGTTTATTGTGGAAGTAAAGCTAAGATTATTCTTTTAAATTTCCCCTTCGAGACAATCCACTCTGCGGGCAATGTCTCAGCAGAGAGAAGAAAGGGAAGATCCTCAGATGATAAGAAGATATTAAGGAAAAGGGGGAAAGTACTGATCAGACATGTATTGCTGGGAATAAGGTATAAAATCCACTGATACTATCACCAATCAATGAATGATTGAATGTATATATATATATATATATATATAAGATGTTTTTCTCCTTTCTTACATTTGAGGTTTTTTTTTTTTTTTCTTTTCTTAATTTGAGATTCATATTCTGTATCCATGTGGTCCTTATCTCTTTATCTCTTTATCTCTCTATCTATTTATTTATCTGTGTGAGGTCCGCTTGACTGTTTAGATGGATTGATTAAGGCATGCGATACATCTATATCTATCTACCTATCTATCTATTTCTTACTATGTGCTTTATATATGTGTATATGGATACTGTATCTATTTATTACTTTTTTTTTTCATTGATTGATCGAATTATTGTAATCCCATGTTTACTCTTAAATGCATTATTATTTTTATCATTATTATTATTATTATTATTATTATTATTATTATTATTATTGTTATTATTATTGTTGTTGTAAGAATCTTTTGTCGTTCTAAAATCATTTTTATTTCTTTACTCTCTTAAGCTCAGAAAAGTAGGAGGAAAACGCAACTTTATTTATTTATATATTTATTTATTTATTTATTTCTTTATTTATTTATCTTGTTTTTGGTATTGTTTATAACGGCATCTTTGGTTTTTACTTCTTTCTCTTTCTTACCGTTTTTATTTTTTTTTATTTTTTTTTATTTATTCATGTACTACATTACATGCGCAATGAAAGTAGAGGGCTACCAACGCCCGTTTTTTTTTTTTCTTTTTCTGTGGATGTTATTGGACGATCTTTTTGACGTTCTTCTTTAATTAGTTTGACTACACGCTTTTGTAGTAATATATATATATATATATATTGATAAGGCTTATTCTTCTATTTGTTTGCCTATTTTCTTGCTTTTCATTTACTTTTTATTTCTTCTTTTCTTTTTTGCCGTTTTTTTTTTTTTTACGTACATTTCACCAATTATATAGGAACAAACAAGGAGACGAAACTACAGTGATAATAACAGTTGTCTTGTTATTTTCACTATTATTATTATTATTATCACTATTATTATTTGAGGAACATATATATACATATATACAGAAAGAGAAGGATAAAGAGAGAGAGAGAGAGGAGTATCAAAGGAAGAAAAAACAGAAGAACAACAACAAGAATAGTCGTTCTCACGTCCACAAAGCAATCTAAACAAGAATAACGACAAGCGTGAAACAAAGCTGAGAAATTAAAAACGAAAAAAAAAAAAAAAAACGAAAAACAAACAAACAAAGAAAACCTAAAAAAAAAAAAAAGAAGGAACGAATAGTTTTTCCACACACTAAAAAAAAACCATAATACACACAAACACAAACCCAATAAACATCGCTGTCTCTCTTTTTCCCCCCACCATAAAGAAACGGCATTCTAATCCACACATTATATATATATATATATCTATTTATCTATCTATAAACAGATATTACTATTATTACAACAATGGCGTGTGATCTCAACGAGACGTGGACGGATTGTTTCTCGGAGTTCCAGTCGCTTCTCGCGGCGGCGGCGGCCCCGTGGCGGTGTTTCGCCCTCGCCGGCGTGAACAAAGAGGCGATGCTCAGCGCCCCGGAGTTGATGGACGCCAAGACGGACCCGGGCTGCGGCTACGGCCCCATCCGCTCCCTCAACGCCCTTCTCCAGGAGGGCGAGATCCCCTCCGCGGCCACTCTGCAGGGAGAGGCGCTGTTGGATGTGATGGATATCATTCATCAGCGGGAATTGCAGTATTTGCAGGGATACGCCCTCACATCGGGAGTTCTGGCATTTCCATACTTCTTTCGAATGAATCTCCTGCAGGAGCAGAACTCCACTTTACATGCCTACTGCAGAGGAGTGGCGCGATGTGTGGAAATGACCATGCGGGCCGTCATGACAACACGGGTCCACAGTGATGAGGAGTTCGTGCCGTGGATAAAGGAACTGGATCGTGAGGAACACATCACAGATGATCAAATTTTATGTGAATTGGAAGAAGCCGCATGTAAGGCAGAATCTTTTCCTGCCATTGCCGCACGTTTACGTTGGCGGAAACACTTTCTTGCGACACTTAAACTATTTGTAACGGGTTCAAAGAAGTTAGATACAGAGACGGCGTGTGATATTGCCAAGGAGGGATTGGATTTATTAAATTCTACCGTGTATGAACGTGAGAGTGAACCTGTGCAGGATAACAGATTCTTTCGGGATACAGAAGTGGCATATTGGGCAAGTACATTTACACCAACAAAACCTATTCCCTGTATGCCTTTTAAAGAGGCGATGCAGATGTATAAAATACTTCTCACACAATTGGCTTCATTAAAGGAATTACTCAGTATGCCTTCTCTTCAATCGATTATGGAGTTTGTGGAATCACTGGGAGCACAGAAGCCATTATTACCTGTACGATCTATTGCTGTTATTGTACTCTTCCGTAATGATCCAAGTGAGTCTTTCCTGCATGGTCCATCACTCCTACATCGTGTATTGGAAGAATTGGCAGCTGAACATGGAGCCCCATTGTATCTAAAGATATTTGATGCTGATGAAGAACTACTGGAAGGGGTTATTAAGTACCGTATTCATAAAACAATGGATCCACTTAAAATCACACCTGAACAGACTATGTATTTACGACATCAAACAGTGGAATCTGTACGTCGTTGGGCAGTGGAGATGTCTAAAGCGTATTTAATTCATATGGAAACTATGCTCTGTAATCGTGGTTTGGCTCATCGTCGAATTATGAATGCCTTACCCCAATTGGGATCATTACAGGAAATGGCTTACTCTACCGATACTTCTATTTTTCTCGCCACTATTCCTGCCGTTTCTGCAGAGATGGAACAAGAGGCTATTAAACGTATGCCAGTACTTGCCATGTACACAAATCAACATGTCTTACGTGTGATGGAGTTACTCTTTTCACTTTCATTGGAATTGGATCTCTTTACACAGGGTGAACTTATTCCTGCACTTTGGTATCTTAACTTTACACAACGGGCACAATTGGAGAATCTCGCCTTATTGTCTCCTCCAAGTTCCTCCATGATTCCAGAAACACGTATTAATCGCCGAACGAAAGTACCTCTATACAATCTCGCCTTAACCACACGCAACGTTGCTCATCCAGATACCATACGTCTTGCCCTTCTTGAGGCTACTCGCATGATTGCAGATGCTGTATTTGTGGCTGCGTGTATGATGGAGTCTAGAGGACTCATTGACTTGAGTAGTGCGGCCAAACACTCTCTTGTTACCGTGGAAAGTATATTTAATCATCGCATGAGTTGTCTTAAACATATTCGAAGTCCACCCTTTAAACCATACGCTCGATGTATTGCAGCAAAACCGGATTTCAGCGCTGGGGATAACACAAATCCAGTGAAACTCTCACTTTATGCCCAAAAAACTGGAGAAATTGCTGTGGGTGCGGCGGAAAGACTTAAACAAATTCTCCACTCAAAGGATTTACTTCCATTACGTAAAAAGGCTATTCAATCACATCTTGAGGGAATGGAAAGAACAGCTAGAGCTGTGGGGGCATCATTGGCGGCTTTCGCTGCAGTCTGTGATGATGAGGAAGCACTAAAGGGATACACAGTCACTGTGGAGCGACCATTTCTCCCATCGATGCCTTGCTTTACTCTACGTAAGAAGGAGACAAAGTAAATAAAATGAATGAATAAATGAGTGAATGAGAGGTTAAGTGAAAGTGTAAATAAATAAATATAAATATATATATATATATATATATATATATATATATTATTAGGTGTATGGAAATGTGTGAGTGGTGTTCATTTTCATTTTTTACTCTCATAGGTAGTTGTTGTGGTTGTTGTTAGGCAGCAGCAGCAGCAGGAGCGGTAGTGTGACTACGAGGAGATTTTACGCATTGTAAAATGATTGGTTGTGTGTAAGGTAAAGAGGTATTGAAAGATTAATTTGAAATTAAATAAACAACATTTGTGGCTTCTCTCTTTGTTATTACTGTTGTTTATTATTATTATTATTATTATTGTTATTATTATTGGTTATTCCGTTCTAACGTTTTCCACACATTTTTTTTTCTTTTTGTGTGTTCTTTTTTTTTTTTCTCGTTTTCTTTTTTTTCTGCGATTTGGCGGGGAAAATGGTTCCTGTTTCTCTTTACTTGTGGCTTTCCTCTGTTTTTTTTTAAAAAAATATATATTTCTCTCTTTTTCTCTTTTTCTTTTCTTTCTTTCCCTTTTCTTTAAGCACAGAAACAGAGAAACAAAGAAATACACATAGTTTGCAATTTGTCTCTCTTTTTTTTTTTATTTGTTTGCTGTCATTTCTACTGTATCGTTATTCCTCAAGGAAATAACAATAACAACAGAGAGGAGAGAGAGAGAAAGAGAGAAAGACGTAAACCGCGAAAAAAAAAAAAAAAACAATACAAAACAGAAAAAGAGTTATTTCTCAGAAATGAGTGGTGTACGCATGGCTGAGTTCTCCAAATACTTCGCGGTTGGAGTTACCTTCACCGCCCTCTGTTGTGCTCGCCACTGCAGTTGGGTCCTCACACAAGTATCGACGGATCTGCAGGAACACTACCGGTCACTGCGGCGATATGCCGATCAAGTCGTCGCTTTGGAGAAATATGCGATGGAAGTGACGGGGAAGTCAACACTCGACGGAGTGGGGGCGGGGGATTTGGCGAGAATAGCGGACTTCCAGCAGGCCTTTTCCACACAGAAGCCATAGAGCTATCTGTACAGAAACCTATATATATATATATAGTTATATATGGAAGAGAAGGAGAGAGAGAGAGAGAGAGAGAGAGAGGGATGGATGGATGGAAATGGAAATGGAGAGTGTGTATTAGAAGGAATGACAACAATATCAAACCCTTTGTGAAGTTTTTTATTTATTTTTCTTCTTCTTGTTGTGTTCTTATTTATTCATTTATGTATGTATGAATGGATTGATTGATGGAAGTTTTATTTCTTTTATGAAATATTTTGTTTTCTCTTCTCTTTTCTTCTTATTACTGCTATTGTTGCTGTTATAATATGGGCTTATTGGTGTGAAGTCTCAAAGCACAGAATAGGTACAAAGCACACAATCGCGAAGGCGTAAAAAAAAAAAAAAAAAAACAAGAGAAAGAAAAGAAAGAAAAACAAAACCACAAGGAAAAGTTTATATATATATAAACAGAGAGAAAGGGAAAGAAAGAGAGAAATACACTGTATCATATTGCTTATCTTTTTGTTTTCGTGATTTCCGTGAATCGTGTAAGATCGATTAAAAAGTACAAGTGGAACGAAAAAAAAGAGAAAAAAAAAGAAAAAAGAAAAAAGAAACGAAAAAAACAAAAACAAAACAAAACGGAAAAAAAAGGGGAAAAAAGAAGAGAAGAAAAAAAAAAAGGACGATTTGCTGCGTGAACTGAACATTAGTTTTTTTTTTTTGTTGTTTTTATTTTTGCACCTCTCTCTCTCTCTTCTGGGGACTGTAGTTGTCTGGGGGTTTGGGTGCTGCTGCTGCTGTGGGAGTGGGTGAGAGACGAACGATCCAAAGAAAAGAAAAGAAAAAAATCAAATAAACGAGGAAGAAGAAGAAGAAGTAATTTCAAACAAGCAAAAAAGCAAAAAAAAAAAGAAGAAAGAAACAAACAAAGAGAGTAAAAAAGAGAAGAAGGAAAAAAAAAAAGAAATCAAAGAGAAACGAGATCAGTAAGAAAAAAAAAAAGAAAAACAATACCGACGACGACGACGACGACGACAAATGGCTCTTCAATTAGATGCTCTTGTACAGGAGTTTTTCACACCTCTCAGCACCTCCGCAAATCAACAGCAACAAGAAAAACAAGAAAAACAATTATTTCGTCATGATAACTGTAGTTCAATACTCTCAGGAGATTTACGGGAGTTGGATGGAATTGTTCCACCAACAACACCATGCGATCCGCTAACAGATAACTGGAATAACAGCACGAATACTCACAGCAATAATAATAATAATAATAATAATAATAATAATAACAATAACAATAACAACAACAACAGTAGTAGTAACATCAGTAACAAGAATCATAAGAATAATAATTATAATAGTAACAACTACAACCATGAAGGTAGTAGAGGAACTGGTCCATTTGTATCTTATCTTGATTTACAATTACTCCCGCCTCTTCTACAGTACTTTAGTGGATTATCAACCGCCAGTAGCAGTGCAGCATCTCTCAGTTCATCTCCATCATTACAAGGCGTTTCTCCTAGTTTAACGCCTACCACAATGTGGTCCTCAACCCCAACACGAAACTCAACACGAAAAGCTGCAGGACATGTAGATACAGTTCTCTCAGCAAGCCGCAAAACGAGATCGGAACGACCACGTTCAGAATATCATAACTCTTATAGATGGCCTTCACATCGTCGAACATCTACAGATGCTCGTATGGGCTCTACTCCGCATGTTAGTGGTAGTAGTAGTAGTAGCAGTAGTACTGCAGTTAGACTCTCAGCGGAGCGAATTGATGTATTTGCCAATTACGCACAACCACCATTAACAGATGGTGGTATCTCCTATGAGTCTCTTGGGCGATCATATCAACGAGGCCTTAACGCCCTTGTAGCGTTGGTGGAATCCAGTAATCGTTTACTTTTACAAGAACGAAATTCTACCACTGTTGGAATGCAAACAGCAGGATTTACGGTAAACTTGGAGTCTGCTGCCTCTCTTCCTACTAATAAGGCGAATGCAGGCCCTAGTGATCAACGAGATGCGATTGTGAATCGTCTGAATCGCCTCTTTCGCACACTTTCTGAACGTGGAGAACGTGTACTCGCCCTGCACATCATTACACGTGTAGCCACTTGGCGATTTGCAAGTAGAAATGAACGAGTGACTATTCTATTTAATCATCTTCGTGCCTGTTTACCAACCTCACGTTTGTCTACAGCAACACTTGCTATGGAGGCGTGGGGTCAATTACATGTGATTGGGGCCAGCTCCACAGTGTATCTTAAAGTCACCTCTGAACTTCTCTCACTTGCCTGCGGCTTTGCACAGTATGGGAATACAGAGGCTGAACAATTAACGGGTCTTGTTATTATTCGACATATAGCCCTATGGCCAACATCTCTCTACCGTGCACTTTTATCAAATGAACGGGATGCACTTCTTCTTGCGATATGGACTTCACTTTGTAATGATACCTTTTCAGAACGTATTCGAGAGTTAGCCGCAGCGACATTACGGGCATTATTTGTTATTGCACTTGAGCAGAAAAATTACCGATCTGTAAATACGTTGTTACAACACGCTATACTATTGTTAACATCTCCGGAAAAGAAACAAGATTTTCCAAGTTTATTCTCTGTTCCATCCATATCGCGAATACTACAACCAGTGGAAGGAATACAAGATACCTCCAGTAATACATTCCAGCGTCCACCTGTATTACAACAGCCCACTCCTATAGTGACAACACGACGTAGTGAAGTAAAGACGCACACATTGAGTAATTCCAGTGGTGGTACTGGTACTGGTACTAGTACTGGTGGTAGTCGTGGTAATAGTCAATCTCCACAAGTATTTGGACTTATTAAAACAAAACTGGTTTCACTTGGAAAGCGATTATTAGGTGGTGATGGTAATATGGATAACCATAATAATAATAATAATAATAATAATAATAATATTAGTAGTAGCAGTGTCCATCATCACCTTTCTTCATCTGCAATGACAGCCGATTTATCTGTGGATGTTACGTTAACAGCTAAAGATAATGCAGCCATCACAACAACTATAGAAGAATTGAATACTTCTTTAACCTCCTGCTTTCAACTACCAGCGTTTGATATTCCTCCTTCAAGTGTACGTGGACATACTGGAAGTGCAACGAGATCCACACACAGAAAGTTACAATACCGTCTCACTCAAGTACCATTACCACGAAATCCTGATATTACTTTACACGCAGGAACCTTGGTAGTAGGAGCTTATATTGGTGCATTACGCTGTTGCCATCCAAACTGTGAACCATCTTTTCTTACTTCCGTAGACTTACAAACATCTCCAAGTGTTGCAACTACAACTACCACCACAACAGGTGGAGGAACAGGAGGAGGGGGAGCCGCCACAACATCTACAATGCCTCCACCAATGAGTACTGAACAAACAACAGGACGGGGAGCGATCCCAACATCAAATATCGCCACTACTACTACTACCACTACTACTACTACTACTATAGTCCATGGAAATGTAACAGGATCACCATTACGAGTACTTACCAGTTCACCTTCTTCTTGTGTGAGTAGTCTGCGTAGTGCGAGACGTGATATCTCACCAGGCCGAGATACCGCTGAGTTCCCACTTCGTGTAGAGGATGATGTGGATGTGGTTTCCCACAGCACAGAGACGGAGGACTCCGCTAGAGGAATTCCACAGCGCCGGGATACGGCCATTCAACCTGCAAAGAGTCGTGATCACAACATGCGGGAAGGAAAGGATGCGGATGGGCATCACATGGAGGAGGATGAGGATGATGAGGATGATGAGAATAACAATGATGTTCATGATGATGATGAAGATTCGGATGATGATAATGATGATGATGATTCCGATGATGATGATGATGATGATGATGATGACGATGATGATGGACCGGAATGGTGTAGTTTACGTGGAGCCTTTAAAGAGGATAGTCGTTCATTGGAAATGCCTGTACTTCTGCGAAGACGTTTACCCACACAAATGAATACTTCTGTGAATACAACGATGATGCCTCAACTGCGTGGAATGACAATAGGGAGAACAGGAGGAGCCGCTGGAGTCTCCACCACATCATCCATTACAGGTATGCCAAACTACCAACAACAACAACAACAACAACCACAACAACCACAGCAGCAGCATTATTATTATTATCATCATCATCATCTGAATCAACAGCATCAAAGATTTCGACATGAAATGTCAGATGAAAAGCCAAGTCGTACAGTTTCACTAAGATTTGCAAATGAAAGTAAAAAAGCTGCTGAATTAGGTTATTTTATTCCCCCTTTTACATTACGTAAGTTATTGGAATTATGTATTTCATGTAATCCAGAAGAAAATGTGGTGCAATCATGGTCTACAGAACGGTTACTTCCTGTTCTTGCCATGTATAGTCCACGAAGTTTACAAGAAAAGGATGTACATATGGCTTTACGTCTTCTTGTATCTCGTTCCATTACGGCATTTCGAGGTGTTGCTGAAGTGTCATATTCATCTCATCGTACAGAAGATGAATTACGAGATATATATTCTTCTGAACTATTTTATTGCGTAAATGATCCATGTTCAATGTCTCTTATTAACATGACTCTTTTCCTTGCTGCTATTTCTAGTACGTATCCACGTATATACGAAGCTGTATTTTTACAACATGTTTATCCTATTCTTCACTGTGCTTTACAATATAATACACCAACGTATTGTCCAGCTGCATTTCCTGTTCTTGCCCTACTTGTACACAACACACCACATGAATTGCGTGAACGATTTCAACCCATTGTGACACAATTAACAGAAATGGCAATTGCAGCTCCTTTTACGAAAGAAATGACTGGAATTACCGCAAAGGTTTGTGCTGTATATCAAGAACTCCGACCACTATGTCGATCGGCGGTAATACAACGTATTACAGAAGTTCTTACAGATAGTGAAAGAGTACGTAATAATAATAATAATAATAATAATAATAATAATAATAATAATAATAATAATACGGACGTAAAGGATAAAATGGACACAACTACAGCTTTAATCACAAGTTTTTTTAACTTGGAAAAGAAGAAAATGTGTTTTCGTGTTTTACAAGGTTTCTCTATGAATTGGGAAGGAACGGGATATTTCTTTTTGGAAGTCTGTGCCCCTTACATGCTTCACCGCGATGCGGCTCTTCGACGAGAGTGTATACTCTCCTGTGTGAAGATCCTTCTCTCCGACTGTCTCTATACCGTACAGGAGGAGGGAAGTGAAGGAACTCCTGTTGGAAATCGAATGACTGTTACGATGTGTAGTCCACGACATTCACGTGGGGAAGGCCATGATCCACATCTCTTATCACCAGGAACAGTTCTTCATGCTTCTACTTCAGCGAATATAAAAGGAAAATCTGCGACGATGATGACAACGACGAATGTTACCAATACAAATACGATTCCTACAGCTACAACGACTCCTGGGACGAGTGCGACTTTTGATTTGGAGTATCCATCTACACGTACAAGATTCCCTTCTTTTCGAAATGAAGAGAATTCTATACATGTAACGGTTAATAATAGTACGTATAATAGTAGTGGGATGAAGAATAGTGCTCGTATCCTTTTTACATTAGATTCCACACATACTAATAGTAATATGATGTATTCTTGTGAACATCATACAGGTCGATCCCATCTTAATATCTTACGTGAGGTATTACATCGATTAGTAGAAGTTGCTGTATGTGATCCGGAGGAAAATATTCGTTATGAAGCATTAAAGAATCTTTCTTCAGAGACGGATCAATTTCTCTATACACATGTTGAGATAATAGATCTTCTCTTTGAAGTACTTAATGATGAATGCCCACAAAATCGTGTAGAAGTAGTACTTATTTTAAGACGACTTGCACATTATATTCCATCTGTAGTTTATCCACGATTACGTAAAGTATTAGTTCAAAAAATACGTGATTTTCAAGAATCTGTTGTTTATTCACATTATTGTCATGAAAGAACTAATAATACCACTATTACTAATGCAGAACAATTAAAGTTAATGTTTGAACTAGTACAAGCTGTTTCACATTCTATACCACTTTATATGGATAGTTTATTACAATTACTGCAGCAAGTTTTAATGCCACATCATTCAGCTGAACGTGATACGGTAGTAATAGCTCTTCGTATGTTATCATATCTTATGGATGAAAGTCCACGTGAAGAGTGGTGTAAATTTGAAGTATTATTAAAAATTCTTTCTGCTCAATTACTACTTCGTGATGGGGATAGTGAACGATTACATGCTGCTATTGGTGCATTACAACGAAATATTCAATGTGTTTTAGTAGCAAAACCATTTTATAATACATCTGAATTACAAAATATTATCTCAAGTTTACAATCATTATTATATCAGAAACCTTCTATTGGATCAGAGTTATCGTTATCCGTTTTAAAGTTACTTGGTACAATTAGTTCTATTGAACCACATCATCATCGTGAGGATATTCAAGGTACAACCGTTATCCTTAGTCGACCAGAGTATAAGTATAGATTACCATTTCCACTTCACATTAATGATACGAAGTTATTATTACAAAAAAGACATGGTGATCCATTACGAGCACAATTTACAGAAGCTATGTGGCCTGATATTATTCTTCATGTACTTTTACGAACTTTTTCAGAAGCTTTAAACGGTGTTATCGCCTTTACAAATGAAGAATTAGGGGCATGTTTACAGGCAACAGTAGCTATTCTACGAGATGCACGTGTATTAAAAAGTTTAGATTTATATATGCCTTCACTTTTAAGTGTTCTTGCGGGTTTATTAGAACGTGCCGGTGCAGATTCTCCATTACGAGTATCTACTATGGAAAATATTGCAGAACTTGTACAACTCGCTGGTCGAGCTATTGCGCCTATGTATGCTATTTTAGTAGCATTTCTTGAACAACATTGGGTATCTTCCTCTTATGCACTTTCTAAATGTTGTAAATTACTCATGGCACTTTGTATGTCTGTACCAGATTTGGTACAAGAACATTGTGAAAAGTTTCTCTCTCTTTTATTGGGTAAACTTGTACAACTTTTGGGAGAAACTCTACCTGCAACATCTGTTGTAAATGTCCAACAATTATCAACTGGTAATCATCGACCTACAGTAGTACATAAAAAAACAACATGGAATAATACAACTTCAATTGTTATAAGTGATATACTAAAGGCCATTCATTCCCTTTTACCTATTGCGGATCAATTAACAATAGAATCTGCTTGTTTAGCCCTTTCACAGTTACTTCGAAATTCAGGAAGTGCAGCAGGAACATTGGATTCAAGAATACATACATTAGAATCTTCTTCTACTACTACTGCATCTACTACTGGTATTGACATTGAGGTAAGCCGTCAGATTGCACAGGTCTTGGTAGATCTTTTGAATACTAGTGATGTGACAACGACTGCCACTGCTGTTATTGAGAGTGCCTTACTGCAACTCTGGTACTACGCCGATCTCCACGAGTCCGCTTTAAAGACTGTGGCACATGAACTCCAACAACAACACGCCCAGGCAGAACAGCGATCTCAACAAGGGAAACACCGTCAAGAGGGAAAACCACAACGTCATCGTTGGCTGCCCTTCTTCTCCCGCATGAGTACTCCGCCTGCGGCCCCACCGCCGGCTCCTGTGAGGGCGGCCCCGGGGGTGCGGGAGTGGGAGGCGGAACTCCGCCGGCAGCGGGGGGCGGGGGCGGCCGTGTGGTTCCCGCAGTCTTCACTCGCCCGCCTGCTGCTCGAGCCCGCCCCCCAGCGGGAGGAGGAGTGGGAGAAGCCGCCGGCCGGGTCGCATCTCCTCCCAATGTCGTTTCCATTTGGGGAGGTGCACTCCGCGTGGGAGTCGCCGCTGGAGATGGAGCTGCTCGCCTGCGTGCTGTTGGTCGCCGGCAGATGTCGACTCCCCGCCGTCTCGTATGAACTCATGATTGTGGAGTATCTCAAGTACCGATTTCAGGCAGACAACGTGGTGGTGGATTTCTTTCACAGTCTCACCTCACCAAAGTACCGTGTGGGGCTTCTCCCTCTCAGAGCGCCCTCACAGGGACAGCAACTCGGTCCATTAACACCATCCGCATCAGTATCCACATTCTCACCACGATCTTATCATCATCAACAGCAACAGAAGCAACAACCATCACTATCACCAGCACCACAACGACCACCACAACAGTCACAACAACAAAATTTACAAGTAGAAGGGCAAAGACAGAAACAAGAGGGTGTACAAAGTAAATCTACCGCATTATCTCAGGGTAGTAGTTCAACTGCTGCATCTCAAGATATGTCATCGAATGTTATACACACGGAACAACAAACAGATCGTACAGGAAGGGTTATATCTGTTTCTCGTGAAGTACAATTACATTCATCTCCTATACCAATTCGTCAACCACAATTGATGCAAGATTCACACTCATCTTCCATGTCATCCATGCATATTATTTCATCTTCCATGGCTACTGGACCAACATCTGGAACAGATAATGCTACTCATCGATTGCTAGCTACAGCACGCACAGGAGAAACAATAGTAAGTGGAGTACGTTGTAGTAATATCCCTTCACTTACAAGGGTTGGTGTTTTTAGTGATGATTATTCTTCTTCTCCGGCTACAACTGTCGGTACAGCTCTACCTACTTCTACTTCTGCAGCTTCGGTTTTTGTCGTTGTTAATAATTCCAGTGGAAATGTTGGTACTGGTAATGAAAGCAGTCCGTTTAGGCGACAACCACACCTTCCATTTCCACGACAATATGAATTATTGTCAAGCAGCAACAATAGTATTACTAACTATAATGATGAAAGGCCAACAACAGCGAAATACGAACACACTTCACAGCTTGAAGGAGAAGGAGAAGAAGGTGAAGAAGATGATGATGATGATGATGATGATGATGATGATGATGATGATGTTGACGAAGGTGTAGAGGAAACAGATGAGCAGCGTTTTTTCCGTCAACATGAAAACCTTTCCTTTAGTGAATGGAGACCATGGTTTGAACAGTTCTGTACAATGCTTGTTGAAAGTAGTGATCATATATGTGTAAGTAGTTGCTTACCACTAGTTCGTCGTCACTTTACAATATTTTCATCTGATTTACTACCTATTGCATTTTTATCACATCTTACAAAATGTGAAGATAGAGTTGTTCGTCGGTGGATGCAGCTTCTTTGTGATTTTGTACATATGCATAATCATGTACCACAAATCATCGCTGCAGAGATGGCACGTTTAGCACATCATATTCGTCTTTATGGTCCTTCACTATTTAATAGTTCTCTTTTACGGATAATTGAGAATACATACATTACACTAGACCTTTTAGTTGTGCTAGCTGATCGAGCTCTTAACCCACCTCTTGTAATATTTTATGTTGAACAACAGTTACTAACCGGTTTTACATGGTCAGCATTAGAACGTGTTGTGGTAGCATTAGAAGATATTAATTATTTAAATGATCCTCGTTTTTTATCTTTTCATCCACTTGTTCGCCGTGCTGCCCATCAATTACTACGTTCATATAAAAATGAGAGAAGGAAAAGTGGTGGTATGAGTGCGGTTTCCAGCCCAACATGTGAATTTGTTGAAGATGCATATACAACCACAAAACCAACAACAACAACAACAGCAACAACAACAAGAAGAAATACAACTACCACTACCACTACAGTTAGTACTAGTACTACTACAGCAACAGCAACAACAACAACAACAGCAGCAGGGGTATCAACATCAGCAGCTAGAAGAGCATCGCTTACACCGTATGATGGAGAACTCCCTTGGGAAAGGAGAGAAGATAATGAAGACGCCCCTTCCACAGTTGTAGGTGCTATCATGTATGGTGAAGAAGTTTGTGTACCACCACCTGCTCTTCTTGAATTAGGGTGGTTTGAAGCCGCATCTCAGGAATATCTACGTTCTATTTGGGCAACTTTAAAGAATCGTGTAAATGGACCTCATATGCAAATTTCTAATATGGGAGTAAAGCGACAATTACTTTCTTCTGCTGATGTTCTTGGTGCTATGCGTTGCTATATGCATGTATACGATTTTGAAAGTATTTTAAATATGTGGATGATGATAAAGGATGTTCCATTTGCCCCTGAAGAGGAATCTAAACCAGAAATAGAATTATATCAACCCCACCTTAATGTTTCAAGTTCATCTTCTACAGGTTTAAGTGGATCTAGATATGCTCATATGACTAGATATGTAGTTTCTGCTGCTAAAGCTCTTTCTCGTTGGGATATTGCAAATGAAATTGGTTACGATCATTTTTCCCCTATAGACCGTGATAATGGTGATCGTCACCCACGTGGATGTAATAAGGATTTTCATTTCTACAAACATTTAGAGATTTTTCGAGCAGCTTCTCTTACAGCCTCTAAGGAGTATGGAAAAGCTAAATCCGTATTAGAAGCTCTGCGTACAACTTTAAAGGATTTTTACGGTGTTTTTCACACAGCGAATACACGATTAAAGTTTGAACTAAGTATCATGTTTCAACAAATTTCTGACCTTGAAGAAGGCATAGATGCTATTGAACTAAAAGGTGAACTAGGGGCTGGGAATAATAAAATGTCAGGACCCACTAATACAAATACTACTAATACCAATACAAATACTACTACTACTAATGCTACTAATACTAATACTAATACTACCACTACTCCTACTAGTAATAATAATAATAATACTACTACAGCTGCTGGTACAACAAGTGGTGGTATTACAGCTTCTTCTGAAATGAAAAGTGATACTATATTAGGTGGAGGACGAGAATCTCAAGAGCCACATTCAAATAGACGAATTGATATGGCCGCCTATACAGAAGCCACATTAAGGCGATTACAGAATATTGCTGGTAGACCTCTTCCTGCTCACTGTACTGTATTACAGAGATTTGAAACAATTGCTCTTCGTAGTACCCTCGTTTCACCAGATTGTCAACTTCGTAATATTTTGGTACTTACGGAAGAAATTACTCAAGAAGGATTACCAAGAAGAGCAGTACGAACAATAGATTACTTTTACTCTCTTCCTATTGATAGTAGTGATATAGAAACTGAACGTAAATACCGTAATACCTTATTATTAGAGAAGTATCGACTTGAATTACAACATTTACATCGAACAAGAGAATTGGGACGTTTACAAAATGAAATAGTGGAGGATCTTATGTTAAAGTGTAACAGTGGATTAGCAAATATACCATCTGTAATGCGATTATCTGGGACAGAAGGAATGGAATTCGCAGGATTTATTGGTCCAGGACCTGTAAGTGAACATCATGCAGAGTTACTTCTATTACATCTTGAATGTCAACGTAAACTGGCAAGTATTCATCAAAGGCGTAAATCTGTATCTGCAGCACCATCTCCTATGCTTGGTCCTCATCCAAATGATGGAATGGGATTTTCACCTGAAATTCCTTCACGTGTTTGTGCTTCATTTCTTTCTTCCGCAACGCGATATGGTGGTGAGGGAAGTAATGATAGTAACAATAGTCATAGTAGTTATCATACACATGATTTGGATGAAGAAGAATCTCCGGCGGATATCCTTTTACGTGAATATCGTCTTATGGAATATGTTATTGGATCTTCTGATGTTATTCCATCTATATGGAGAGAATTTGGATTATTATTATTTGATGTTTGCATGGCTATCTATGCAGAGTGGGATTCCACCCGAGAACCTGAAACACTTAATAACTTTTGTGTTCAATCGGAAAAGGCCATTAGTGCACTTCAGAAATCTGCTCAATTCTGGAATAGTTCTGCTATTACTTCAATAACCGGCATTGGACCTTTTAGCAGTGCTTCCACACGACGTCTGCGGCATGCACGGGCAGCACTTCCTGCTGTACATCTTGTATTAAAATCACTGCATCTCGCACTTAAATTGGAGGAAATTGTCACTCACTATAATAATAGTAGTAATAACGAGGATGATGAGCATGAAACTGGAAATGACGCGGATGCTAGTCGTGGCCTTCCACAACACAACAGTACCACTACTACTACTACTACTACTGCTAATAATAATATAAGTAATAATAATAATAATAATAATAATAATAATAATAATAATAATAATAATAATAATAAAAGTAGGAACAATGAAAGATTTCGACGTGGGGCTGGCTTTGCTCAACTAGACTTCTCCCCCGCTATGTATCTTCACTGGGGAGCTGTATTGCCATTTCTCATCAATGCAGCGGCCCGTCACCGTAAATTACACGATGCCGTTCGGGATATGTGTATGAAGTCCCGTTCCATGTTATGTCAATGTGTATTTCACCTCACCGCCACCTTTGAACACCGGCATGAGTCTCTACTCACACAGCAACAACAACAAGAGGATGAGGAAAGACGACGGGCGGAAAACTATCCTGGCAATACACATTCAATCTCATCTGCACAAACAGGCCCAACCGCATCAAGTTTGTTTGTAACAGAAGAGACCCATAATGAAGAGGGAAAGTCCGTTGTTGGGGCATCTCGACAGGATATCGCGTCGGAATCTACTTTTACTTTACTTCAACAACAACAACAACAACAACAGGAACAACAACAAGAACAAAAGCAGCAAAATTGGAAATCTATGGCGGCTAATTCCTTAAGTTCACCAGGAGGTACAGATAGACGTGAAATAGATGTTGCTATTCAGAGACCAAATGATACACAACATCAGTGGCGATCTAGTATGCTTCGTATATTGGCTGAAGTTGGTGCTGAACAGAAAGCAATGATTCAACAAACCATACAATTATGTGAGTTTGTACGTAATGGGAAAAATACTTCTATTTCATTAGGTACATGTGCTTTACCAGCACCTACATGGTTTCTTCAACGCCGCATCGTAGAGGTTGATGGAGAAGAGGAAAATTCAATGAAGTATTCAGCAAGTAAAACAAAGAATTTTTCTCCCGGTAATGAGAATGAGATATTATCAGAAAAAGAACGATCTGCTAAAGCAAGACCCTCTGAAGTTCAACGTATTTTACACGTACGTCGTCAACTTGTTCCTCATCAAGCTCCACAAAGACGACGTGAAGAGGTTCTTCTTTTCTTTCTTTCAGATGGATCATGTTTACGATTTCATAATATTGATGTGGTAGAGGATATTACTGTGGGTTCCACAACCCCATCATCATTAGGATATGGTTTAGGAAATATTGGAGGAGGAGGAGGAGGAGGAGGAGGAGGAGGAGGACAAATGTCTGTTGATATGGCTACGCTTACTACGACTTCTGCTGCTGGTGTTGGTGGATGTGTTGGAGGAGGAGGAAGTGATGTGACCTCATTTGGTTTGGCATCTATTACATTACCAGCTGTAGGTGGTGAGAAGGGCATTTCACATACAGAGTCTACAGATCATACTGCTTTTATTCGTCCTTTAGCAACAATGGAAAGTGCTGTTTGTTGTCTTCTTGGTCATCTTCCTGTACAGTTTGTGCGTAGACCTCTCGTTCTTCCTATTGGGATACAGGAGTTTATTACTCAACTTCCAGATCGTGCTATTTACACTTCTGGATGGCTTATTAAATTACCACCATCTTTACAGTTTAACTGTGCAGCATCTATGATGCGACAACCATCTTCTATCTTTCATATTCTTTCTGAATATAGTCTACGATATCGAGATGAGAACAGTTTTTATAATCAACAAAATCATCGAAAGAGTCAACAACAACAACAACAAGAGGATGCTTCTACAGATGTAAATGATGGTAATTCTACACATGCAGCATCCTCATCTACAGGTCCACAAAGACATAAATATACAGATACCACAGATGCAGCTCATTCTTCACGATCAGAACGTAATAGAAGAAGACTTTTAGCAAAATATGAAAGTCTTCTTGAATTAGCATTTAATGATGGTCATGTTAGACCGTTATGTACTTTTATACGTCAAATAATGTTAACAAAGAAATTATCAGAGGCTGAATATCCACGACCTGCAGCAAAATTAGTATCACTGTTAGCAATAGCTGAAGAATTACTACAAGGACGTTCAAGAACTAGGGAAGAATCTCAAAAGACATCAGATGCACCTGGAAAACGAACGACAACTAATCTTTCTTCTACAGATGTTGATAATGAAGAATTTCAAATGAGTGAAGGTTATAGTTCTATCTCTATGTCTCCTTGTAAAAAATCTAAAAATATACATCCAATAACTGCAGAAGCGTTAACAAAACTTCGAATTAGTATTCTTGAATTAGAATCACCACGATATACCCCTGCATTACGGCTTGCCTTTCAGTCTTCCTCTGCAGATGCTGCCCAGTGGTTGGAAATTACACATGTGTATACACATGAATTAGCAGAATGGAGTATATTACAGTATTTATTAGATACTACACAAAGAGAATGTGCGACATTTTTTGTAGATTTTTCAACTGGTCATGTTGCCTCTCATCATCTTGGTGTTCACGCACTTCAACCATTATCTCCTCATTCCATGAGAAATCGACACTCGGGTTCCTCAGCCGTTGTGGATGGTGTTTTAAGTGAAGAAATACGTAAGGATGAAATGATAATAGAAGAGAATAATCCATCATCTGCTTCATCGCATTTTTGTAGAGATCCATCTATATTTAGACTAACAGGATGTTTGGCTTCACCTTTACCATTAATGTGTCCATATGGTGTTTTTCTTGGACGAGCCACACGATGTCTTTATTCTTTTTTACGATATAGACGTGAACTAACTGGTATTATTTCATTTGGATTTCATGATTTAAGATACTTTACATGGAGTCCAACCATACAACAACAACCATCACTTCCCACAGATGGTGTAGATGTGGATGTTACTATAAAGAGTAATAGTGGTGTGAATATACCAGATGCCTCTAATCGAGAAGTCTCTCGACTAACAGCTTCCGGTGTTACTTTACAACCGGCTGATCTTTGTGTAAATGCCGGTGCCATGACAACTCCACTTGGTGAACTTCCCGCAACGCCTATTATGGAAGGAGCGCCGCATACAATGGAATTAGCCGTAGCTGGATTTGATAAAAGTATCTCTTCAAGTCCATTAAAAGCTACACAAAATGCCATTACGGTACCTTACAGTACAAATACACATGATACGACAGAGCAAGGAACACGAACAGAAGGACAATCGGAAGAAGAAAGAAGACGTGCAACTGCGGCAACAGAGGCTTTTCGAAGAATGTCTTATTCAGCAGTAAATGCGGCAGTATTTGATACATGGAGAACACGAAATATTCAATATCAACAACAACAGCAACAACAACGTCGTAATCTATTACCACGATTATTTGATGGTTCATCTATGATTGAAAAACTTACAGATGAGTTTCTTCCTATGCAAGATGAACCAAAACTTGTATATTTTACTTATCCACCAACAGAAGATTCTAAAGATCTTATTTTCCTTTATCCTCACAATAGTATGGCAGATCCAGAAGTATCTATTAATGTTCCTGAAAAACCATTTTTACCACCAACAGTCTCTTCTTCTTCTAAGTTAATGGGTCGAGCTACTTCTAATTTAGGTAATCGTGGTACTGCACGAACTGTTAATGAACGTGTATCGCAACTTATTCGAGCAGCAATGGAACCAGAAAATCTAGTTGGAACTGTAAACACCCCACACGGTTGGAGTCTTTGGGCACCCCACTGGTAAAATCATTTTCTTTTTTTTGGGGAAGAAGAAGAAGAACAAAACGAAGAAAAAGAAGAGGAAGAAAAACAACAACAAAAAAAAAAAAAACAAGAAAAGTAAAGATAAGATAATTGATGGAAAAGGAATGAGTTCTTGCAGCTTAGACATTTTTTTTTTTTTTTATCTTCGTTTTAATTTGCTCATTTTTTTTTTTTTTTTCTTTCTGGAGGATGGGGAATGGAGGAAAGATTCCTGACTCTCTTCTCTTGCCCACATTTGTGTTTCTTTGGGCGTTTCTTTTTTTTTTTTTTGCTTACCTTGGGATTTTAAAGAAATCCATTATTATTATTATTATTATTATTATTATTATTATTATTATTATTATTTCCTTTTTTGTCCCCCTCATTTTGCAATGAAGGGAATTTTAGTTTGTTGAGTGAGGAAGAGCAAACTGATCACCCCACCAATTAATATATTAATACATACAAACGTACATACATGAGTACCTTATATATATATATATATATTACAGTAACGCATTGCGTACGTGTGGACTAGGAAATGTCATTTATTTATTCATTTCCTCTTTTTTTATTTTTATTTTTTTTTTCACAATTAGAAGCCTTTTCTTTCTTTATCTCTCTCTCTCTCTTTCACTCTTTCTCTTTCTCTCTATGTATAAGAGGTAGATTGAGGCTGGATTCATGTCTACAATGCATAGTGGCGTGGGTGTTCGCCGTGCCATGCAGCGACTGCGGTATAAAACTTCTGAGCAGCGGCAAGTCGTGAATGAAATGCGGCAACACGCGGAGGAACTCACGGCGAGTGGACGGGCCTCTGCGAAGGCCAAACACGTCATTCCACCGCCTCTCTGCTTTGCGGAAGTAGCGGGAGAGGCCGATCTGCAGCGCAGTTTCTTCCCAGACGGGATGCTCAGCGGTGTGGGAATTGGTGTTTCCGATACGCTCGATGTGCGGGAATTCCGCACACGCTACGGTGTGGACTCGCAATTACTCCATCAATTGCCCCAACATGAGTTTCCATTCGTCTCGTGGCTACGACGGCATGGGGCTCAGTTTGTAGGGAAGTTGGTTTGTCGAACACCCGTCACTATTGGAGAGGCGAGTTTATTAGCAGCGGACTGTCCAGCTGCAGTGGCCGTATCTCGTGGGGCGTGTAATTACGCGATTAGTTCAGCTCTTATGGGTCCTGCGGCGATGACATCACCATTACATTATGATGTGGCCGCGTTTAAACCAACATCGCAGTCTTTTGCAACTTTTACGGATAACTGTGGGATTGGAGCTCCATCTATGTCTGTAGGTATAACCGCTGCTCGTCTTGATGATATTTTTTATCTTTGGGAGGTATTTACATCGGCTATTCAGCCAACTTCTTTTCTCAGTGAAGAATGGAAGGAGACAAATACCGGTAGTAGCGGTAAAGGTGGTACAGAGCATGAATATCAAAAGAACCACAGTAAAACTAGTCATACCAATAGTACTTCCTCTACTAGTATTAACAATAGTCATAATAATAGTAGTGGTAGTTCTAGTAGTAGTAGTAGTAGTAGTAATAACAATAGTGGTGGAGGAGGAGGAAGTGGTAGTAATAGTAGTAGTAATAATAATAACATCACCAACACCAATAGTGGTAGTGGTGTAAAGGGATTACATTACGGTGATTCTTCAGGAATGAATGGACATGGTAGCAGTAGTGGTTCTAGTGAGGAAATGTATATACGTCATATTGAACTTTCTGTAGGTTACCCTGCAGATTGGATTGATGCACTTTGTCAAGAACGTATGGTTTCTGCAGATGAATTTCGTCGTCGTATTCTTCGTCTTGCTTCTACCCGAAATGCTATGCGAAAGAATGAAGTATTAGAAGTTATACCATTAACTATTGATGTAGACTTGGAAGTAGTGGTACAAGCTATACAAACTATAGCATTATATGAACTTTCTCAGTCATTTGATCGTGTCTTTTCACCGACTACTTCCAGTATGCGAGGAGTAGGGGGAACAACTTCGCAATCAGGTGTATTAGATGAACTACCAGATGAATTGGTATCAGCTATATTTAATGGTAGAACTTTAACAAGTCTTGACTATCATCGAGCCTTACGTGCACGAGATACTGTACTACGTGCAACAGAAGAACAATTTCGAGATATTGATCTCATTGTTGCCCCTATTTTATCTGAACCGTATGTGAATAGCAGTATGCGAAGTATTGCCCCATTATTACCATTTGCCTTGGGTGGTAATCCCATGGTTTCTGTACAGTTAGAGCCCGATTTCCCTGTTGCTTTGATTGGAGAACTCGGCCGGGATACCGGTCTCTTTGAGGACTGCACAACTTTTCTGCAGTTTGTGCGGGGAACCTCACCAAGATGGTGGCGGCGAAAGTTTATGCGGTGAGGTTTCTCTCTCTCTCTCTATTTGTGTGTGTTTATAATGTGAGAGTAGGTATTACTGTTTAGATGCGAATAAATAAAACAAAACAAGACAAAAAAAAAAAGAAGAGCGTAAAAGAAGGAAAAAAAAAAAAAAAAGGAAGAATAAAGTAAAGTAAAAAAAAAAAAAGAAGCTTTATCGATTTGTATACTTGCACTTCTATTCTCTCTTTACCCTTCTCCATACTATTCCGATCGATCTTTTTTTTTTTTTCTTCTGCTTCTTCTGATTCTGTATTGGATAATGATAATTATACATTCCTTGAATAATGATAATGATAATAATGAATATTTTTTCTTTCTTTCTTTCTTTATTTTTAATTCTGTTAACATGTTGCGTATTTAACAATATATACGAATTCTGGTTTAGGTTTATACATTGGTTCTCATAACGGCATCAGCAACAGGAAAAAAAAAAAAAAAAAAAAAAACGACAAAAAAAAATGAAAAGATTTGAAAAGTTAGGGAAGATTCAACGCCATCGAAAACGTTTGGTGTTTTTGATATTACTTTCTTTATCTATTTTCATATGTATGGCTCTCTTCTTACTTATTTCTGGCATGGCATTACAATACAATTCAGAAGAAGGCCAATCACGTATGGGAAAGGGTTCAGCCGTATTCGGTAAAATGGAAGGAAATGTCTTTTCATCTCATAATCTTCCATCCGCATCCAAATCTGTGGAAGAGGCGACCATATTTCTCTCAATTGCGGCTTTTCGTGATGTGGAGTGTGTTACCACGGTTGAGAGTGCATTAACTCGCGCACGGTTTCCACATCGTGTATTTATAGGTATAAGTGAAGAACGATATGAAAATGATGAGAGTTGCATAAATCTCACCGATACACTTCAGAGAATGAATATGACTCGCACTCGCACACTGCGTTGGAAAGATGTAGTGCCTTCGGCCTTTGAAACTGAAAAGAATGCAGAAAGTAAATCTAAACCAACACCTTTACTTCATCCTGGACGAAGTAATGATTTGATAACATGTTTGCTTAGTCCTCATGCTGCTAGTAGGACTTTAGATTCTACGAACACTTCTGTGTTGGATGGGTGTCAAATAATAACAAGAGTGGGAGAACCAGATGATGCACGTGGCCCAACATATGCTCGATACATCACAAGTTTGTTTTTTAATAATCAGGATTATTATATGGTGGTGGATAGTCATTCGAGATTTATACCAGATTGGGATATAAAGATGATTGAACGTGCACGACTTATGCCTACACGTGGAGTGATGTCTCATTACCCAAATGGATATACCCCAGAGAATCCAGATAAGGAAATAACAAAGTTAGATGTTATGTCTATGTGTAAAGGAGTGATTATGCCAAATAATATCCCCAAACTCGGAGCACGATGGATTCCAATTCAATCTAAACCAGTATTACAAGGCTTTGTGGCGGCTGGATACATATTTGGGGATTCACAGTTTGTACGAGATGTACCATTTGATCCTTATCTTCCCTATTTATTTGATGGAGAGGAGATATTATACACCGCTCGACTCTATACAAGTGGCTGGGATAGTTATTGCCCGGGCTCCGCATTACTTTATCACAACTATGAAAGACATAAGGCCCCACGGTATTTTGCCGTGATAGTAAGGGATGAAGTCCGTGCCCATCGATTATTACAACAACGAACAGCCATTCGACGTGTTTTGTATTTACTACGACGATGTCAACTCAACACAACAAATCGAATTGTAACGGATGATGAGGCTCATGTGTTAAATCCCGCAATTGGACAATATGAAAAGTTTTTTGGAATGGGGAAGGTGCGGTCTCTCCATAGTTATTGGCATTTTACACAACTCAGTGATGAGTTTATAAAGAGCAAAGATAATGAGGGACGATGGATGGGGGGTGAAGGACTATGTGAGATTAAATAGAAAAAAAAACAAAAAGAAAAAGAAAGAAAGAAAGAAAGGGAGAAATGAGTTCTCTCTATCTTTTTTTTATGTTTTTTTATGTTTTTTTTTTCTTTTTGTTAATTTTATTTCTTTATTTTTTTTTTCTTCTTTTTTTTTTTTATCATGGAATGGATTGAGGGTTTCCTGCTAGTGTGTGAAGAGCGGTAATAGTCTTGTATACACCTCCACGATAGAGGAGGATGAGATCATCATATATGTATATATATTGTTAAAAGGGAAATAAATGAATAAATAAAATAAAATAAATAATGAAGTCTCTTTTAAATATTTATCGATTCTCTCTTTTTCCTTTTCTTCTTTTTTTTTTTTCTTCTTTCTATTCTTTCTCACCTGTTGTTGCTGCTCCTGTTGGCCATCGGGGGTGGGTGGGGAATATATATATATATATACACATCAATACAATTACAATTACACTCATAAACGAGAAAAAAAAAACCAAACAAAAAACCAAACAAATAAAAAGTAAAAGTATTAAAAGGAGCAAAAAAAAAAAAAAATCAAACAAACAAACAAACCACCAATAGTAACAAGTATACAAAAACAAAAAAAAAAAGAGAATCCATTGAATAAACAAAGAAGAGAGTTCATCATGCACCCAGAAGAAGAACAAAAGCAGCCATCTCAGCAGCATGCGGATTCCCAGGAACCACTACATAATGACGGTGTGGGCAGCCACAATGAGGGAATGTCCGCGGGCTCCGTAGCGGAGATTTACCGCGAGTCCTTCCGCTTTCGACAGGAACCACACAAACACAAAAACTCTCGCAAACAAATGTTACGTATTCTTTTCTGTGTTTTGTGTTTTTGTTCCTTTGTGCTTTCCGTGGTCGCCACGCCGCTGGATATATTCCGCGATCGCAGCAGTTCTCTTTGTTTGACGATGTGGGGTGGTCGGGCCACCTGCAGTACAAATGAGTATAAACCAATAGACTGGGGTTGTTCCGATCGACGCAGTCACATCAATGCCTCTCGTGCCTTTTCTATTCTTTCTATTCTTCTCTCTTGTATTGCCTGCATTCTTGGTGTGTTGTTGGTGTTCGAGATCTTTCTTTTCCGCCGCATTGTGCCTGCAGTGATTTCCCTTGGCGCCAGCATTACACTCGTGTTAACATGGGGATGTATAGCGGGTGTATATAATGAGATGTTGTGTGAGACGGAGATATCGCCGGGAACTTCACTGAAGGGAACGTATAAATACGGGGCGGGATTTGGAATTTTCGTCGCGGCCTTTTGTCTGCAGTTTGTGGCTACCATAGTGGAGTACTTTGCGTGAATATATATCTATATCTATATCCATATATATAGATATTGGTTGACCTTTTAAATAATAATATCAATAATAATAGTAGTAATAATAATAATAATAATAACATATCTATCTATCTAATATATATATATATATATATATATAT